GACGACGACGGCGATGACGATGACGATGATGATGATTGGTGAGGATGAGGGTAATGCTGCCGATGATGCTTGCGGTGGTGGTGATGGTGATGTCGATGATGATACTATGGATAATGATGATGCTGATGATACTAATGGTGCTGCCTATGATGCTGTTGTCGTTGCTGCTCTTGCTGTTGATGCCGCTGATGATTATGCTTATGATGATACTGCTGGTGGTGATGCTGCTGCTGATGATGATGACGATGCTGAGGACCATGATGGTAATGATGAGGATGCTGATGCTGCTGATGCTGATGCTGCTGATGGTACTCATGGTGACGATGGTGATGATGGTGATGATGATGAGTATGATCACGGTGATGCTGATGATTATGCTGTCGCTGAGGATGATGATTATGCTGTTGTTGCTGATGGGATGATGGTGCCGATGATGGTGATGGTGAGGATGCTGACGATGATGTTGGTGATGATGCTGATGATGCTGCTGATGATGGCGATGATGCTGATATTGCTGATGATGGTGATCATGATGCTGATTGTACTGATGTTGTTGCGGATTATGATTATGAATATGATGATGATCAAGTTCACGATGATGATGTTGATGATGTTGATGATCATGATGATTCTGCTGATCATGATGAGACTGCTGATGATGATGATGTTGCTCATGCTGATGCTGATGATGCTGATGATGATGCTGATGATGCGGATAATGCTGATACTGCTGACGATAAGGATGTTGCAGGTGCTGCAGATGATTATGTTGATGACGATGCGGATGACGAGTCGGAGGATGAGGACGAGGAGGATGAGGAGCAGGAGGCGGAGCAACAGAAGGAGCAGGAGGAGAAGGACGTTCGTCACATGTCTTCACTTGTTGAGGAGCTTTCATGGGCCTCGTTCGGCGCGTCTTAGGCACCTGTTGGCCTCCTGTGAAGTCGTCTCAGGGATTCCCTGCGGCAGTCTGTTGGCCCTCTGACGCCGTCTTGGGTTTCTCCTGGGCCGTCTTGGGATCCTCTTGACCGTCAGGTCGGGCCTGGAGGTCGCCGTGGGGCAGCCTTTGGCTGTAGAACGGCCTTCAAATGCCGTCCTGGGTCAGCGCGGGAAGCTGCGTTGATGCCATTTTGCATGCCTCTTGGGCCATCGTGGGACCTCTTGGACCATCTTGAGACCATCTTAGGGGCCTCTTCGGGCCGTCGTGGGGCAATGGTGGAGGCTGCTTGCACCGTCTTGAGCTGACGGAAGCCCGAAAAGGCGAGACTGCACCAATCATCTAGACAACTTAAGGGAACTCAATGGGTTTGTTGTCTTCGGAGCTTGTTGGAGGCATCGTGGGCCGTCTTGGGGCCATACTGCGCCGCATTGGGGCCATCTTGGGCAATCCTCGAGGCGTCTTGGGCCATCTTGGTTTGATCTGCGTAGGACCCCACTCCGCTGGACCTCCCAGGGACTCCAATCACCATGGCGACGTACCCAACCCCTGCGCAATGCGGGGCATGAGTAGCTTGGGATACGTTATACGGAGGTGATGGCGTGACCTGGGCGTATCTACTTCTGCGAGCGGCATTCGTGAGGCTCGCAGCCCCCTAAGGACTGCGATGTCTCGCTCAGATCTGCCTGCTGCATCGCTCCGCTGAACCCGCCACCAGCTTTCGAACGTTGCGACGGTTTCGCAGATCGCAGCCCCCCCAAGGACGGCGAGGCCCCGCTCAGATCTGCGCGGTGCCTCACTCCGCTGGACCCACCAGCAGCCCTCGAAAGAGGGGACAGTTTCGCAGATCGCAGCCCCCCAGGCGCAGCGAGGTCCCGCTCAGATCTGCGCGGTGCCTCACTCCACAGGACCCACCAGCAGCCTTCGAACGTGGCGACAGCTTCGCAGATCGCACCCCCTCAGGGACGGCACGGTCCCGCTCAGATCTGCTCGGTGCCTCACTCCGCTGAGCCCACCAGCAGCCCTCGAAAGTGGCGACAGTTTCGCAGATCGCAGCCCCCCAGGCACGGCGAGGTCCCGCTCAGATCTGCGCAGTGCCTCATTCCGCTGGACCCGCCAGCAGCCTTCGAAAGTGGCGACAGTTTCGCAGATCGCTATGCTGGCCCCCCAGGCACCCCTCGACAGTTGCGACGTTTTCGCAGATCGCAGCCCCCCAAGGACGGCGAGGTCCCGCTCAGATTTGCTCGGTGCCTCACTCCGCAGGACCCACCAGCAGCCCTCGAAAGTGGCGACAATTTCGCAGATCGCAGCCCCCCAAGGACGGCGAGGTCCCGCTCAGATCTGCGCAGTGCCTCACTCCGCAGGACCCGCCAGCAGCCTTCGAACGTGGCGACAGTTTCGCAGATCGCAGCGCCCCTAGGGACGGCGAGGTCCCGCTCAGATCTGAGCGGTGCCTCACTCCACAGGACCCACTAGCAGCCCTCGAAAGTGGCGACAGTTTCGCAGATCGCAGCCCCCCAGGAACGGCGAAGTCACGCTCAGATCCGCGGGGTGCCTCACTCCGCAAGGCCCACCAGCAGCCTTCGAAAGTGGCGACGTTTTCGCAGATCGCAGCCCCCCAAGGACGGCGAGGTCCCACTCAGATCTGCGCAGTGCCTCGCTCCTCAGGGCCCACCAGCAGCCCTCGAAAGTGGCGACAGTTTCGCAGATCGCAGCCCCCCAGGCACGGCGAGGTCCCGCTCAGATCTGCGCGGTGCCTCATTCCGCAGGACCCACCAGCAGCCCTCGAAAGTGGCGACAGTTTCGCAGATCGCAGCCCCCCAGGGACGGCGAGGTCCCGCTCAGATCTGCGCGGTGCCTCATTCCGCAGGACCCACCAGCAGCTCTCGAAAGTGGCGGCAGTTTCGCAGATCGCGGCCCCCCGGGGATTGCGAGGCCCCGCTCAGATTGGCGCGGTGCCTTACCCTGCAGGACCCACCAGCAGCTTTCGAAAGTGGCGACAGTTTCGCAGACCGCAGCCCCCCAGGGACAGCGAGGTCCCGCTCAGATCTGCGCCGTCCCTCACCCCGCAGGACCCGCAGATCGCAGCCCCCCAGGGACGGCGAGGTCACGCTCAGATCCGCGCGGTGCCTCACTCCGCAGGACCCACCAGCAGTCCTCGAAAGTTGCGACGTTTTCGCAGATCGCAGCCCCCCCCCCAGGGACGGCGAGGTCCCGCTCAGATCCGCGCGGTGCTTCATTCCGCCGCAGGACCCGCCATCAGCACTCGAAAGTGGCGACAGTTTCGCAGATCGCAGCCCCCCAGGCACGGCGAGGTCCCGCTCAGATCCGTGCGGTGCCTCATTCCGCAGGACCCACCAGCAGCACTCGAAAGTGTCGACAGTTTCGCAGATCGCAGCCCCCCAGGCATGGCGAGGTCCCGCTCAGATTTGCGCGGTGCCTCACTCCACAGGACCCACCAGCAGCCCTCGAATGTGGCGGCAGTTTCGCAGATCGCAGCCCCTCAGGGACGGCGAGGTCCCGCTCAGATCCGTGCGGCGCCTCACTCCGCAGGACCCACCAGCGGCCCTCGAAAGTGGCGGCGACAGTTTCGCAGATCGCAGCCTCCCAGGGACGGCGAGGTCCCGCTCAGATTCGCGCGGCGCCTCACCCCGCAGGACCCACCAGCAGCACTCGAAAGTGGCGACTGTTTCGCAGATCGCAGCCCCCCAGGCACGGCGAGGTCCCGCTCAGATTTGCGCAGTGCCTCACTCCGCAGGACCCGCCAGCAGCCTTCGAACGTGGCGACAGTTTCGCAAATCGCCCTCCCCCCCAAGGACGGCGAGGTCCCGCTCAGATCTGCGCGGCGCCTCACTCCACAGGACCCACCAGCAGCCCTCGAAAGTGGCGACCGTTTCGCAGATCGCAGCCCCCATCGTCGGCGAAGAGAGGGCAGGAGGAGGCGGAAGAAGAAGGGGGGACGCGACCACAGTTCTCTATTCAAAACGAACACCCAACCAAGGAGGGTTGGGAAACAGTTGGCGGCGAGGGCGCTGTATAGGTTGAGTCTGCGAAGAACACTAGTCCGTTGGACCTCTCTGTTTCTTGCGAACCGAGACGGCAGTTGCGTAGTTCCCCCACCCGCCCCTGGCTGGACATGTCCAATGTCGGAACAGCGCAGGACCATATTTTTTGACCTCCCAAGGGATCACGAAAGTGGCGACGCTCGATCAATTCCTGTTCCCGGGGAGGCGAGGCAGTAAGCATGATCGGTGGCCGAGGGGAGGTAGTAGGCAGCAGGGGGGACAACGCGGGAGGCGGGACATGTAGAAACGAGTGTATGCTGCAGGGTATGCTGGGCAGGAACGGATCCGAAAAAGGCGGCGGGGAGAAGGAAGGACAGGAGGGCGGAGGTGGGAGGCGGGAAGGAGAGTAGGCAGCTGTTCTCTGTTCGAGGCGGGGTCCCAGCGAAGGAGGCATGGGAACAGCTCCCCTTGCCATCACCCGCTCCCGCCCGACTCCCGCAGGCCAGGGGACACCTCGACGTCGGGTTCTCCTGCTTCAGCATCTTTTGCGTCTGCTCCACCATAGCGTCTCTCTGGACGCTGCCACACGACGACGACGACGACGACGACGCGTCAGAAGGTCACCGCTGGGGGCCAGGGCGAGACCGAGGTCGAACAGTTCAAGTATATCGACGAGGGCGAGACCAATACTGATCTGGATGTGGGCCAACCGTATTTCGCGTGTCGCGGAGTGGCAGAGCAGTCCCCTTGTTTCCGGGTGGAAGCGCGACGGCGCGGAGAGAAGCTTGCCATCAAGCAGGTGGCCTGTGGCTTTGATAGGCGATGGTGGTGATTCTGGTTACGACTATGGCGAGTTGGGCAATTGCGATTTCGAGGAGGGGGGTGAGTAGGATGAGGATTTTGAGGAGGGCGACGACTGAGACGTGCTTCGATGGGAAGGGCAACTTCGAGGAGGACGGTATGGCAGACAATGCCGAGAATTTCTTAGCGTTTCGCGTATCTCCAGCATTCTCGACATCTTGTCAGACTGCACGTGCCCGAGCTTCCCAGGATATCCCCTGCCGTCAGCTTCCCGCACAGCCCCGCGGCTGCTTAGTGAGTGGGCCGGCCGGCTAGCGGCGCGTCTTGTAGCTAATTAGGCTTGCCCGTCGGCCCGGACACCCTGTTCGCCGCCTGCGCTCTTCGCTCGCGGCCGCGACCAAAAAAGTATCTCCGGCACCTCATCCAGGAACGATGCCCAAGAAAGCTGCCCTAATCGGGGGAGCGTGGGATCATGCGGATACCTCGGGAGGCCTCATTGAACTAGAGGCCTCTGGGATGCCTCTTGGGGTCGCTTGGGATGTCTTCTGGCGGCCGGGGGGGATCTTGGTAGCCTCTTAGGGCGTCTTGGGTGCCTCTTGGGAGCCTCTATGGGCGTCCTGGAGGGCCTCTTGCGGGCCTCTTCGGGTCCTTTTGGGGCCTTCTTGGGTCCCTCTGTGGGGCCCTTTGGGCCTTCTTGGGACATCCTGGAGGACACAGATCGGGGAGGGGGGGGCTAAATTGAGTTCCCCCCCGAATCCCCCAACGCCGCCTGGCTCCCTCTTGAGGTGCTCTCGGGGCGCTCTTGGGACCGTGTTGGGGCCCTCTTGGGCTTTCTGGTGCCCTCTTTGGTCATCTCACGACACGTGTGAGGGGTGTGCCGTGATGGGCGGGGGGGACGCGTGCGACAATTGCCACCTGGGCCTTCGATGAAGCTCCCTGTGGGGCCACGGAACGAGTGACGGGTGCGCCGTGATGTGTGGGGGATGGGGGGAGGGGTGCGAGCACTGCCACTGGGGCCTTTGGTGGAGCTCCCTCCCTGTGTGGCCACGAAGCGTGTGCGGGGTGCGCCTCATGGGCGGGGGAGGCACATGTGAGCACTGTCATTGGGGCCGTCGGTGGAACTCTCCATGGGGTCACGACGCGTGGGAGAGGTGTGCCGTAGTGGGCGAGGGTCCGCATGTGAGCACGGTCATTGTGGCCTTCGGTGGAGCTCCCCCTGGGGCCACGAAGAGTGCGAAGGGTGCGCCGTAATAGGTGGGGGAGACGCGTGTGAGCACTGCCACTGTGGCCTTCGGTGGAGCTCCCGTGTGGGGGGTTGCACCGTTGTGGGCGGGGGAGACGCGCGTGAACGTTGCCACTGGGGCCTTCGGTGGAGCCCCTATGGGGCCATGAAGCATGTGAGGGGTGCGCCGCAATGGGTGGGGGAGGCGTGTGAACACTGCCATTTGGGCCTTCGGTTGAGCTGCCGTGGGGTCACGAAACGTGCGAGGGGTGTGCCCTAAAGGGCGGTGGGGGACGCAAGTGAGCATTGTCACTGGGGCCTTCGGTGGAGCTCCCGTATGGGTGGTGTGCCATAGTGGGCGGGGGAGACGCGTGTAACCACTGCCACCGGGGCCTTCGGTGGAGCCCCTATGGGGTCATGAAACGTGTGAGGGGTGCGCCATAATGGGTGGGAGAGGCGTGTGATCACTGCCTTTGGTGCCTTCGGTGGAGCTGCCATGGTGCCATGAAGTGTGTGAGAGGTGTGCCGTGCGGGGGGAGACGCAGACGCATGTGAGCACTGTCAGTGGGGCCTTCGGTGGAGCTTCTCATGCCGTAATGGGTTGGGGTGACGCATGTGAGCACTGCCACTGCGGCCCTTCGGTGGAGCTCCCATGGGGCCACGAGCCGTGTAAGGGGTGTGCCGAAGTGAACATGCGGAGGGCAGAAGCAGGGTTTGGAGGAGTGAGCAGCGAGAGGAGGAAGGAGGAAGGATTGACGCGGGGCGTTGTCTTTTCAAACCGATGACCCACCACCACAGGATGGTCGGAAGCACAACCGCGGATTTTCTTCTGCTGTCGGACGGGTTTTGGCCTCTTGGGAGCGTCTTGGAGAAGCTCCGAAGCCGTTTAGAACCGTCTGGGAGCGGTCTTGGAACTTTTTGGAGTACGTTGGAAGCCACTTTGAGCGACCTCGCGCTATCTTGAATCATCCTGGAGACCCTCTTGGGCTAACTTGGGCCCTTTCCGGCCATCTTGGGCTATCTTGGGCCCTGTGACCGCTCGCCGCCCCCCCCCCGTCCAGACCCACAGAGAGGGGGTATGCGGGAGGGGTCACGTTCCCAGCGAGAACGCCGCAGGCTATCTCGCTCACTCCCCCCCGCTCCCCCGCTATATAAGTAGCGCCCGAGCCTCTGCATAGGCAGGGGCCGCCATCGACAGCCATCGGGAACCAATGCGAACGCCAGCCAGGTGCGCGAAGCCCGCGAGGTGCGCCACACATGCCATTTGCGCCACTCGCAGAAGGTGCGCCACGTTGGGCACTATGACGACCCCTCCACCATCCCTGTCAAAGACCAATGCCAATGCAAAGTCACGGCTGGTTTGTCAGCATTGTATTGTTTGCGGAGGGGGGACCCCCTCCCCGAAGGGGAATAAAGAGGTCGGAAGATGCATTGACGATGGCGGTGGCGAGGGGGTGGGCAAATAAGGGGGGCTCTGTGAAAAAACGTGCCACTTATCATAGTCTCCTGCGTGCTCATGTGCAACCAGTCCTGAAATCCACGTGTCTCATCCTCCTCGCCCTCATCTGTACCCTGCGTCCGTCCCCGCATCTCTCTCCCTTCAGCCCGTCAATTTCTCCTTTGCCCCTCGTTGTTGCTGATGGCGACACGGTGCCTATGCCGTTGACGCCCTCGGCCGAAGGCCGAGAAAATAGTTGAAGGTGTGGCAGTTGCCGGCCAGACGTCGCCTAAAGCCACACCCGGCCAGAGGCAGAAGAAGTGGTGAAAAACCACAATCAAAAATAATCACCAACTCAACCTAACCAGCTCTCTTCCGAGTCCGGCGGGGAGAGGGAGGGGAGGAGGTGGGACGAGGCTGGCGCCGTGACCTCTCCGGCAGGGACTCCACCCTCCGCCGGGAGCGGCGGCCGGGCGTCGGGGAAGCGGGAGACAAGTCCCGCGTTCGGCTCTGCAGCGTGCAAGGCGCCGCTCCACACACCACCGCACCACCAACCGGGGGAAGGGGCGGGGGGTGATCGTCGTCGGGCTCTTGGTCGTCCAGGTGGCCGTCTGAAGCCTCGCCGTCGGCCCCCGCCGCCGCGTCCACCTGAGGCGGGTCAGGAGGGGGGCGAGGAGGAGGTGGTGCCGGTCGCCGCTTCGACGGCGGAGCGTTGTCTAGGTCGGCAGCCGCCGGCCGTCTAGCCGCCTGCCCGCGCGGGGCCGGAGCAGTCACGACGTCTCCGGTCGGCGCCTCCACCTGAGCAGGTTCAGGAGGAGGAGGAGGGGGAGGAGGAAGAGCGGACCGCCGCTTCGAGGGCTTTGGTTCTCCCGTTGTCCTTCTTGCAGAGGCCTCCAGAGTTCCACGAAGGACTCACAAACATATTGAACATTTGTTGTCGATCTTCAATCCTCGATCGTCGCCTTTGGCTCCTCTTGCCTCGTCGGATGTTGCCACAAGTGTCTCTGGCCGAAGGTGCCCCCAGGACTCTTCCGAGGAGGCTCCCACGGCCTCCAGAGCACCCTTGACGAGGCCCAGATGGCCCAACGGTTTCCAGAGTGGAGGGTACCCTAATTAGTGTTCTTCGTGTTTGTTGGATGTTCTTGTGCATCCTGGTGGAGGGTACCCTCGAATGCTCTTCATTTTGGCTGGCGCATGGTCTCATGTTCTTGACGGAGGCTCTTCTGCCCTAGGTCCGACCGTAGCCTTCCTTCTCCGTCCGACCCGACCTTGACCCGCCTGGCCCTCTGCTCCCGCAGACTTCTCCCGACGCGCGCCGGGCATCCCCCTGTCGCTGTCCCTCCGCCGCCGTGTCGTTCCTCTGGCCCTCGCTCGTTCGCCTCTTCTCGGGCCATCATTCGGTGCCGCTGCTGCCTGGGGTCGCTCCAGCGTGTCGCCGAGAGGCGGCGGCCCGCGTCGCGGCGGAGCGGGCGCTGTTCGGGGCGCTGCCGGAGACGGGGGGTGGCGTTCGGGGGCCTTTGCCGAGGTTTTCGGAGGCCTTCCTCGGGGAGGAAGAGACAGCGATGACGCTGCGCGTCGCGGGAGTTGGCGCCTGACTCTTACCCACGTCCAGAGCAAAAGCGCTCCTCGCGGCCATGCTTGGCTGACAAGTCCTCTGGTGTGCTGTGGTCCGAGCACAACGAGGTCTAAGTCCACATGGTCCTGCAGCCGATTCTCCTGTCAAGCTGTGCGTCGGAGCCAGGCATCTGCACCCGCCCGCGCCCCTCTCGGAGCAGCGCCCGCGCGCGGGAGGATGCCCCTCCCGAGCGTGTCTGGCGACTTCGCCGTGCTCAGCTCGCAGGAGGATGGTCTCCGAGTGCCGCGGGGATGGGGGAGAGGGTGAGGGGGGGAGGGAGCGGGGGGAGAGAGGCATAAGGAGGACAACGTATGACGGGGGGACGGGCTCGGGGGGGGGGGCGGCGAAGTTTTGCGGTTCGAGGTTCTAGGTTTTCGGATTTTGCGTCGGTTCTCCACGACTTCCAACCTCGGGATGCCTTTCAGCGGCTGCACCTCGCCGAGGGCGTCCCAGAGGTGCCCAGATCGTCCCGAACGGCCGCCAGAGGCCCGAATTGTGAACCGAGAGCCACCAGGGGATAGGCATAAGGGAGGGATGCATCGGCCCCCAATCGCCCATTGATCCCAAATAGGGGCCCGATAGCCCCAACCTGCCCAGTAACGTGCGGATTTGCGATTGGGGGCCTATCGCCGATCTCTCCGCGATGTATCGCCGATCCCAGGTCGATGTTCCCCCCCCCTATGCCAGTCTCCCCCTAACGATCCCCTCAGAGGGAGCGGGGAGGGTGGGTCTGGTTGACCCGAAAGGGGGCCCAGCGAAAAGAGGGTGGTGCAATAGATTTGGTGCAACATATATGTGGGGTTGCAACAGGTGTGGGGCGTGCAATACATTCGGGTGCGCACATGTATTGCTGGACTGTCGCGTATAATACATTAGTTGCAATACAATGCATACAATTTGTTGGCGCAAAACATTTTTAATCAAATTGTCCCGAATCTATTGCACCACCCCCTTCCAGCAGGACCCCCTGTGGGTCAACCAATAATGTTTCCCCCTTGTGCCAGTCCCCCCCCCCCAACGTTGCCCCTCAGAGGGAGCGTGGGAGCCCAGGGTAGGGGTGAGGAGTCGCCTTGGTCGCCCGCTGATCAGGCTGCCTAGGATTTTTTTCTGTCTTTTCTCTCTCTCTCTCTGTCGTCCTTTGCTGACCTGCGTTGATCTTGTTAATGTATGGGCGTCGAGGCGGTGCACTGGGACGGAGGGAGGTGGGGGCGGGGAGGGGATACCGAGGAGGAGACGAGGCCGACACAGGGGGATGAAGACGCAGGAGGAGGCAGAGAGTGATGCGGATGTGGCTACGGAGGGGGAGGGATGGGTACGACTATGGGGACGGAGACGAGGCCTGAGCGGAGGAGAAGGAGGAGGAGGAGGACCAGTGTAAACCCTAGACGCACCAATAATGTTGCGGCCCTTCCTCACATGTCCCTGCAATAGTTTGTTTTTATTGCGGGAAATGCCTCGTTGGAAGGTGACCATCTGAGGATCTCCAATCGTGCTAGAAAGCCGTTTATGAGACTCGCCGCGAATCAGTGTGATTGTTACGTCTTGGTAATCCGAAATCGTCCGAGAACGATATTCCTGGGGCTTTAACACCGCGGATCGACGTGACTGTTGCGTCCTGGCAATCCTAATCGTGTCAGAGCGCCATGTCTGAAACTGTTGCGACGACACGTCGCGGCCCTAATGCGAGAGCCACATGTTGGAAAACACCTTCCTTCCATTCTTGAAACAGTTGCGGACTTTTAAGACGAATGTGTGCGGCGCTAAGGCGAGAGTCACAAGCTGAGAAGGAACCGCCCTCCACCCGTGAAGCTGTTGCACCTCTTTACGCTTCAGAGTCGTGAGTGGTGAGGACGTCTAAGGCGAGACGCCAGGGCCGCCGTACGGAAGAGGGATGGAGGAGGACGAGGAATAGGAGGAAGAGGAGGCGGAGAGGTCTCCAAAGGCCCCCCCCCCCGGGGTCTCCGGATGTCTCCAGGAGGGGGAGAGGAGGGGTAGCAGGAAAAGGATCATGGTGTTGTGGATATTGTTGTTCAGCTCTTACTTTAGAAGAGCAGTTGCTGGCGTCCCCGCCCATACACATTGTGTTTTTCATTTGAATTGTCCCCGCTATCGCGACTGTTTGCCCGTGAGGGCAAGTCTTCAGGATCAAATCGCGTTGTTGGGCCCACGAGCTACTGTCTGACACTTGCTCACAATTCGTTTGGGATCGCACGCTCGATTGAGAACTCCGCGCAGCATTTGACTTAAGACTCGCGCACTCGCTCAGGAGTGCTCACGGCTTACTCAGGTAGCGCTCTCGCTCTACAGGATTGGCATTCTCGCCTTGGAATCCCTGTCAATGTGTTAACGTTTTGCGCTCTTACCCGGGGCACCCTGGCAAATTACTCAAGGTTGCTGGCTCGCTGGGGAATCATCTTCAATTTGAGTATACATCGCGCTCTCACATATATATATATATATATATATATATATATATGCGATCGTGCTCCCGCCCGGTATTTCTTCGCTGTGATCGTCAGCGATGCAGCTGTTATCGATTGTGACACTTCCAAATCTGGACCATGCTTGTTCTACGCGCTTATCGCGCGGGGGGAGCTTTTGCCCCCAAGGGAACTCGGCGACGTGCGCCTCAACGATCCAAACCTGCGCAACATGGCAGTCAACGCAGCCACCGAGGCGGAAATGGCGCTTGCAACTGCGAGCCAATCACTCCCCCGTGTCCACAGCCGCGTGCGGAAAAATTGCTTGCCCGACAGGCTTGGGGCGACGAGTTGATGTTGACGTGCATTAGAGTATTGGAGGACGCTGGTCGGATTGTCATTATTGACGCCTCGCGTATCCCCATCACCCTGCCTCGCGTCGTCGCCCCCGTCTGGCTGGGGTGCCTGCTTTACCCCCGTTCGGCCTAGTCGGTCGCTCTGGGGACGGCCCGCGAGCCCCTCCTTCCGGGGTGCCCCCGGCCGCTCGGGCCCGCCCTCGCCCGTGGGCGCCACCCCCGCCCGTTCGGGGTCGACGGACTTTGTCTTCCCCCGTGCCGGCTTGGGCGTCCTCCTCCACGTGATCGGCGGTGTCGCTTCACGCCGGGTATGGATCCTGGAGTCTCGCCGCCTCGCTGTCGGTGCTCTGCTTGGCGCCGTCCTTGCTCCTTCGCCGCGGCCCCCGCCGTCGCGCCCCCCCGCACGGACGTCCGCCATTATCGCGCTCGCGGTCTCACGAACCCCCCATCGGCGACCGGGAGTCTTCCGTTGAGCGCCTGCACGGTTCGCCCTTCTCGACTACGTGACGGTGGTCATCGTCTCCCTCGACCACGCGGTGGTGGTCTTCGGGAACCAAGGGGACCCATTTCGCCATTTTGGCGCTGCACGCAGACCTGGTGCACTTCCTGGTCTTGTTTGTCGGCATTGGCGTTCCACGCGGACCTGATCATCAGCGTCCTTTTCGCCAACTGAGTCGCAGCGTCGTTCGCTCCTGCGCGCTTAGTGCTTAATTTTGATCGTGGCGCTGTTGCTTCGCTTTTTGACGGCGCGCGGTTGCTCCGTTTCGCTCGCGAACGAAAGAGTATCCCCATCATCCTATCCATAAGCTATGGTCAGGCGAGTTGCGTTGACCATGGGGGCGCAGGAACTTGCAGAGCAATGAAGACGGGCAGCGGCGAAACCATCTTTTCGGATCAGCCTCTAAAAGCGGGCCGAGCAATGAACCGCGCGCCGCCACGGCTCTGCCACAGAAGGAGGAAACGGAGAAAGACGGATGAGGAGCAAGGCGGGATCGTGAGGAAAAGAAGGAGGAGGAGAAGGAGCCCGAGGAGCTGAGGACATGCTGGAGGAGGAAGACCGGGCACGAGGCCGCGGTGACCGTCTTCCTCAGTAGTCCCCTCCCTCTCTATGTGTGGACATGTGTACTCTTCCGCCCCAGCCCTCTCCTCTTTTTCGTCGCGGGATGATGTTGGTGATGAGGATGATGATGATGACGACGACGATGAGGAGGAGGAAGAGGAGGAATCTGATATTCAGGATGATTCTGAGTAGGAGGAAGTGCAATGGTGGTATGAGGAAAAGAAGGATCTTGAGGGGAACCAATGCAAACCCAAGACGCACCAACGATGTTGCAAACCCCACTCCTCCCCCCAAGTACCCTGTCCATCGCATTCTAGAAAAAATGTATTCTCATTGCGGGATGTACCCAGTCGAAAAGCAACCGCCTGATAATCTTCACTCGTGGAACACCGCGCCTGGGAATTCAACGCCGCGGGTCAACATGATTGTTGCGCCCTGACAATCGGGACGTCGTGCCAGAACGCCGGTTTTGGGACTTTAACACCGCGATTCAACGTGACTGTTGCGACCTGACCACCCTACACCAGTTCAGAGCACAATTCGTGGGTCTTCAACCGCACGCATCTTCGAACGTCGTGCAGCCTTAAACACGAACGTGCGCAGCGTCAGGCGATTCACACAGCTTAAAAGAGAGCTGCTCTCCATATGTAGATTGTAGAACCGATGCGAGAGTTTCGGACGATCGTGCGCGGCACTTCGGCGAACACCGCATTTTGACAACCAGCCGTCTTCCATCCTAAATGCTGCTGCGCACTTTTAGGACGATTGTGCGTGGAGTTCAGGCGAGGGCCGCACTTTGAAAATCAGCCGCCCTCCATTTTCGAAGCTGTTGCGAACGTTTAATAAGTCGAATGTTCGCGGCGCTACGGCGAGAGTCAGATTTTGACAACCAGCCGCCCTCCACCCTTACAGATGAAGTGAACTTTTAAATCGAATGTGCGCGGCGCTGAGGCGAGAACCAAATGTTTAAATCGAGCCGCTCTTCATTCTTGAAAAACGCCTGGCCCGCCCAACCGACACGTCTGGGGGTGCGACAGGGTGAGTTGTTTATAAGGAAGAGGGACGGGGGAGGATTGGGATGAGGAGTGAGACGGAGGACGACGATCACAAGTAGTAGGAATTTGACGAAGCACGTTCCTATTCTATTTATGATGGGACCTGGGCGGAATTGCGAGGATGATGAAGATGAGGATGAGGATGAAGAGGGGTGACGAAGCGGACGATGAGTAACACGAGGGCGAGGAGAAAAGGATGAGGAATAATATGAGAAGGACGGGGAGGAAGAGGACGATGACGATGACTCCGGCAGCAGTCTTAGGATTTCCCCGAGGCCTTCCTGGAGTTCTCTTGAGGCTCTCTCGGTGCTCTCTTGTTGCCCTCTTGGAGTTACTTTGGGGAGTGTTGGGATCCCCTGGGGTCTCAGTTGCAGGGTACCGGGGCCCTCTTTAGGCCCTCTTGGGGGCTTCTTGGGAGCCTTGGTAAGCCTCTTGGGGCCATCTTGCAGGGAGTCGGTCCAGAGAGGGGGGGTCCTCGATTTCCCTTGCCGCTCTGGGTCCATCAACATTGTCTCTTAGGATCCTCTTGGTGTTTTTGGGGCGCTTCTAGGTGCTCTCGGGGCCGTCTTTTGGACATCCTGGGCCATCTCGAGGCCTCAGAAGCCCATTGGAAGCGAACAGGCGAGAAGGCACACATCATTCGTTGTCCTGTAGCTTTTGAAGGAGTCGCGGCTCTTTGTGGGTCCTTGGGCTCCAACAGCATTTGGAACCATTTTGTGGCTCTTTTGCCTCATCGAGGCATGATGGAGGCCATCTTGATCCACACCCCGCTATCTTGAGCCGTCTTGGAGGCCATCTTGAATCATCGAAGACTCTTTCGGCGCCATCTTGCGCCCAGAAGGAACCGCTGATACATCGGGGGGGGGGACCAACACACACTTCAGGGATCGGAAGGGGGGTTACCCTTCCCCAAAGGGACAAGGGGTTTGGAAGAGGACAGACAGAACTAGTTAGGCCACCTACGCCCAGAGTGCTGATGGGATTTGCCGAGCTCCATCACTTTTGTGTCGGGCGCGCGGGCCGAGATCCCTATCCGGACGTATGCGTCATGCCCAGATTCTGGGATCCCTCGAGTGGAATGACCTCTGAGTGCCGCAGGCATCGGAACAGCAGCCGGCGTTGGAGAGCAGCAGACAACGCCGCGCGCACCCTGGCTCGTTTTCAGCCAGTTGCTCTCAGCCTTACAGTCGCTCGCACTCAGACACTCGCAGCGGGAAATGCAAGAAATTGAGATGCACATGCGGGGATCCCCACGTCGATCATTTGTTTGATTGTTCGATTCTGTCTCCCCCCCTGGAGGCCTCTGCCGGTGAGTTGGAGTAGCGCCTCGGGGATCCTTGCTTCAGTCTGCTCGCTCATCTCATCTTATCCCCCCCTTCCACCTCCCTCCTTATCCGCCTCCCTCTCTCACCATCATCTCTCTTACTCTCTCATTCCTCCTCCTTCATCCTCCTCATCCTCTCTCCTCCCCCTCCCGCCTCTCTCCCTCGCGGCCGCCCGCAGAGATGCAGGTCGCACCCATGCCTTACCCCACACTTCTCGTCCCCTCGCTCCCCCATCCCTCCTTCCTCCCACATTTCTCCCCGTGCCCCCAGGAGGCGGCCCCCGCGTCCGAATTCCGCCCTCTCCTGCTCGCCCGCCCCAGGACGACGAGCAGCGGCACGGGCAGGGCGAGAGCCAGACCACCTCCCTGCGGCTTGCAGCTGAGGTGGGTGTGTGGGGGGCGGGGGGACAGCTCCTGCTCCTTCCCATCTTTTTTGTCCTACCCTCCCCGTCCCCTTTCCTCTTGCCTTTCCACCTCCTTGCCTCTCCCCTCTTCCCCCCCCTCCTCTGCTCCTCTGCTTTCCCCCTCTTCCCCTTCCACCTTTTCTGGGGGCGGTGGAGGCGGAGGAAGACCAGGAGGCAGCGGATGAGAGTGTCGAACATGACGAATCATATCAATACGAATAATAACAAAAGTAAGAATACGATGAATACTTCTGAGAAGACGAAAAAGAGTAATCAAACCAAAACTAAGAAGAATAAGAAGAATAAGAATAATAATAATAATAATAAGAAGAATAATAATAATAATAATAAAGAGAGTAATACTCATAATAGTAACAATGATCATAATAATAGTCATCGTAAGACGAATACGACGAGCCCGCGCTCAAAGAAATAGAGCGGCTGGGCCGAGCAATGCCGGCCACGATCTTTCTAGAGCCTATCGCCGCCGAAGGCGGCCCCGCCGTCCTTTGGCCGGCTCCGGCTCTCAGGACGACCCACGCCCTCGACGGCGATTTTGGATCCCAGTGACAACAACATGATGGATGATCAACTTAAGGGCCAACGCGATGGTCCAACAGGTGTCCCCAAGATCAAAGAAATATAGACTGCGGTCTGGTACACCACGCGCCAACGGTTGGCAGCGCGCACACGGGGGTTGCGCGAGGAGGGCGAGCTTCTCAGAAGGGCTCGAGCTAAACGGTGCTTTTGCGATTTCTTGGACCGTTTTCGTTTTGACTTCGTTTTGCAGCAAAGGTGGAACGGAGACAGTACGGAGGAAAACGAGCAGAATGTGACAACGAAACAACTGTTTAGTTCGATGTCTGGAAGCAGAGTCCTCTTTGAAGGGCCTCGCGGCGTTTCAAGAAGGCTTCGTGGAAGCCAGGAGAGCTTCCTCAGGAGCCGCCCTCTGTCTAGGGCCCCCCCCCCTTCGCGCCAACCCCGTCTGCACGCCGTCCACATCTGCGGGTACTCGCCGGCCGTTGGAAATAAGCATTTCTGGATTCCGAGATCTCGATCTACTTTCGGAGCCTGCCTACCTCAATCATCGAGTGCCTTTTCCTGTTCCTCCCTCTTCAGGAGGCGGTCGGAAGCCTACTTCATTGCTCGATTCACTTCTTCCGACCGACGGGTACGCGCGGCCCATTCGTCCGCCAGCACGGCGTCAGGCTCAGGCCGCCTCAGCCGAAGTGTGGCAGCACCGCTGCCGAGCGCCTCCCGGGCGCCAGGGAGCTTTGAGTTGGCTCCCTCCTCCCGATCGGATGCACCACCGCGCGCGCGGCGGACGGCCCCGACGAAGACTGCACACGGCCCTTTTTCCACCCCGGGGCCTCAGTGCATTGGCCCGTTGTGCCCATCCCGGAGAAGATCAGCGGCGAGCCCGGGGGCGAAGTGAGCAGGGGCGGGACAGGACAGGGCAGGACAGGACAGGATAGGAGCGGCGTGCGCAGAGGCGCGCCCTGTGCGGGCTGCCGCGGGCCTCCTCGCACGCGCATTCTCGCATCCTTGCAGTCTCGCACAGCAGCGCGTTCTCACACAACCATCTTTCTACATTCCCACATTCTAGTCAGCCCATCGTTTTAACGGCTTTCCAATCGACCTGCACCCGGAAGGGGCCATCGTAGCGCAACCTGCCCCCACTTGTGGTCATCATAAGTTGGACTTCCTCTCGCTCTGCGACTGCAGCCACGTGGGCAATCCCGATTTCGAGTATGCTTTCTCTGCCCGTTGTGTAGCTTCCACAATCCAATCAACATGTAACTCGTGTTCAGTCGTCTTGCGCCCACAATTTTCCAACGCATCTTTCGCATTGCTGCGTTGAGTTTCTGCTCTCGCGTTGCAGTGAGCGTCCAGGCACCGCTCCCATACAGCACCGTAGAAGACACAACAGCGTCGAATAGCCTTAATCTTGAATGTAGGAGATCGTGCCAGTCACACACGTCGGATTTGAACTTTCCGGAGGCGGCCCATTCTCTCGAGATCCTGTGGTTGATTTCTACATCGTGGTGTTCACTGAACGTAATTCGCCTTCCTAAGGACTTCGTGCTGTCGTCGGACGCCAAGACTTCGACTCGCCCGTCGCCAACTTCGACGTCTTTCTGTCGTAGAACTCCCCAGCGGTCAGCCTCGTTGGACAGGATCTTCGTCTTGCCCGTGTGCAGCTGCAAGCCAGCAGGGCGCGCCCTCTCGTTCAAGTCTGACAACATCCGTCGCCACTTGCGCCCTGAGAGAATATTGTCTGCGAACCTCAAGTTGGCCGAACAACGTGAGCCAAGTTTTGAGTCATCTCAGAAGGGGCGGGCCTTCTCAGAAGTCTCGGAAGTCCCCCGGCCTTCTGAGAAGTTTTCTAAGCCTTCCCCGAAGACACAAAACACTTCTCAGAAGGCTGGAGGGCTTCTGACAGGTCCCGCCGCCTTCTGAGAAGGCCTTCTCCTTCTCACTTCCCCCCCTCGCTCGCTGCCGAGAAGAGCACATTCGCCATCCCGTGGGCCCGTGGGGGCATGGCAGCTCGGGAGGCTCGGCCGTGGGGTGGGCTTGTCGGCCCTTTCGTCGTTGAGGTCACCGTTTCGGGGGCTCTGCGAGCACCACTGGCGCTGCGGAGCCATCCAATGACGTCAGGTCGCCGCGACAAGGAGGAGGAGGAGGCGGAGGAGGAGGAGGAGGATCGGGCGGGGCTAGGACGAGGATACATCCGTTCCAGAGCGTTCCAGAACGCTCTTAGAGCGTTCCGGGACGTTCTGAGAAGGTCGCGGCGCCCGAGATATTTTGCAGAATTGCCGGATCTCGTAAATTCTCGATTTATCTTCACCCGAGTTTAGGAGCAGGAGGAGGGCTGACTTTGCAGTCCGCCGATGTGCCCGTAGTCACCGTCAGGAGTCTGATGTGAAGGTGCACCTCGTGAGCGCTTGTGCCCATCTTGGTTGCAAGGTCGAGGCTCAACATGAAATGTACGAAAGTCTGGCCCTCCAAGTTGACGGCCACACATTCGCCCATCAGCACGGGCGTGTTTAGGAGCCCTTTGGTCGCTGACTCGTTGAGTGAGCTGCCGCATCATTATGCATTTCGCCTTTAATATTCTTCCGCTCAGTCTGATCTGGTTGTCCGCACTGAAACGATATCTCATCGGATGACCGCACCGTCATTCAACGCAGGCTGAAATATTGTGCCCTGTTGGCTCGTTCCGACGTGGGCCCCTTGTAAAGCCATGTTGTCCCTCCCGGATGAGCAGGGGTGCCCCCGGCTGCCGTGGGCAAAGTTGATCGTTGCTGACATGGTTCTTCTCGAGCACACTGTACGTTCGTCAGTGACGTGTTCCCATCTCCTCCCTTGGGCAGTGAGGCGTGGCATGAGTTTGTGGTGCACCGCCCAGACGAGTGGTGGGAACAAGTCAGCCAGCTGTGCTTCATCGAATCAGTGTGTGATACGCTTCGGCATGTGAACGCGGGGCCAATGAATGTAAGCAATTTGGTTTGCCATGAGTGCCAGGCGTACTTGAACCACATGAGGTCCTAGCACGGCGCACGGAACCCGATGCGGTTGTTCGCACGTGCCGACGCGACATGCATGTCACATATAATTTTTCACGAGAGTTCGATTTATTGAGTATTTGTCGAGAATTGGCACAGGTGTCTTCCCAGTTGCCACACCGTGACGTAGGAAGAAACTTACTCCTGGGACGCAATGGACTCGCGACAGGCGGCTCGCGCATAAGTCCAGGCTGAAACACCCAAGAAGCAAAGCTCCAGCTGTCAAACCTGGTGCCCAGAGAGTGGGACGTTTTTTTTTTTTTTTTTTGTAATCTTATGGTATTGGCTCGACTTGTGTCGCTGGCAGCAAACCGCCGGCAAAATAATTAGGAGGAGGAGGAGACCGAGGAGCCCAGGATATGCTGGAGGAGGAAAGCGGGGCGCGAACCTCAGAAATCCCATCCCCCGGTATGCATGGACGCGTGTGCTCTTCCCCCCCCCAGCCCTCTCCCTCGTCGCCCGTCCCTCCCCATCCCGTCCCGCCCACCGCACTGTTACACTGCCCGCCTCTGGCGTTGGCTTTCGCAGGGCGTCCCTGAACCCGGTGTCGTCGTCGGGCGAGCTGCACGTGGAAGCTCCTCCTGAATAGTGCCTTTCTCGCCCGCGAGCTCTGGCGTTGTGGAAAAGTCGCGACGTTGTAATTTGTCAAGGCGGCAAACAGGACGACGAGGGGGATGGGAAGGAGGAGGAGGAGGATGACAGAGGCTCGATTTACTTTCTTGGTGCGTCGTATAAATTGGGCAGGGGTTGAGGGAAGGGCGCCGATTCGCAGAAGTCCGGGATGCTGTTCTTCCTGGGCGCCGCGGGGGGGCCCGCAGGAGGAGGGGAGCGGACGGGGGATGAGTGATGTTGGCTTCATGTTGCCTTGTTGTAGTAGTCATTTCTGTGTGTCGCATGGGGGGTGTTTCAGACGCGGCGATCTCGCCATCAACGGCGGGGTAATTCAATCGACGGTTTCAGGAGTGATAAGCGAGGGGGAGACAGGCGGATGGGGGTGAGGAGGAGGGATGATAATTCTATCGCTGATGATGTGGATGACGACGGCAAGGAACTGTTAAAGTGAAGTGGTTGATGCGTGTATTGTTGATGATTGTGATGTTGATGACAACGGTGGTGATGACGATTCTGATGGTGGTGGTGATTATGCGGGAGGGAGGCAGGGAGGTAGAGATGGAGGGACACAGGATGCATCGTAGCAGGGAGTTTGGGGGGATACAGCTAGGGGTAAGCATGGGGAGATGGGGTAAACTGGGTGGAGGCGGAATGAATCGAATGAGTGGTCAATAGCTCGAAAGTGGAGTACGAGAGGGGAGTGAGGGTGGGTGGGATAGAAGAGGAGAAGTGTGGTGTGGGGACGTCTTAAGGACCTTTGACGCGCACGTGCTTCAGTGAGACTTCGTGACTTCCCGAAGCGTATGATTTTCGGAATGTGGTGCGCCCGCCTCCCTTCTCCCTTGTCTTCCCTCACCCTCTTCGTCTTTCTCTTGCTACTCCTTCTCTCTCGTCGTCGTCTTCGTCGTCGTCGTCGTTGTCAACGTCCTCGTGATCGTCGTCCCCCTTCTCCTTCTTCTCCTCCTCCTCCTCCTCCTCCTCCTCCTCCTCCTCTCTTCAAGTAACATCTGAACTTAAGCCATTTCAGCCTTTGAGCGCAGGTGCCTCGTCGCCTCCACTTGGTGCTGCAGGGGCAGGGCGGCGATCGCCTCCAGGCGCAGCGGTGCCAGCCGATGAAGATCGAGGCGAAGAGGATCTTTTGGGAAGGGCGTGCCCTCGTCTTTAGGGCCGTGTGGAGCCCCAGGTCGAATCGTCGCCAGGCGGGGCTGCCGCGGAGTTCTTCGATGCAGCTTTATCGCTGGGCTGCTGGTTTCTTGGCCGTAGCTTAGCCCTGGGCTGCGGCATCTTCAGGCTGTGTTGCTGCGGAGTTCTGCCTCGCGGAGTTCACGCTGGGCTGCTGTGCTCTGGGCCGTTCTAGTGTCCTGGTCTGAAGGATGCGGAGGCTTCCAGGGAGATGTTGCGGCACCGTCGGGACTCGCCTGGACCTGGATCTAAGGCGGCGGGGCCCGGGCGAGGAGAGCATGGGGGGGCAATTTCGACGAGGGGCATCGCAGTTTGGCAGTGAACGCATCGAGGACAGTGGTCGGGCTCGACCTGACGCCCCGCCGCGTCGCGGGCGGCCGCGCTCCTGCGGTGCTGGTTCGGCCAGGGCGCGCCCGGCTCGAGGGGCGATGAAGGGATCGGAAGCGAAGCAGCAGCGCGAGCAGAGCGGTGGCAAGGAGGCGCTGGCGCAGATGAAAGTGGGCGCCTTGTTGCACGTGGATCGGGCTGCGCTTCTCGATCGCGCGAGACGGGCGACCCCGGCGGAGGCGAAAATAAACGTTGCGGCGCGCTCCCAGGCCGCCCAGGGCGCGGCAGATCTCGAGGGCGGGGCTGTCGCGTTCCGCGGGGCGAATTTGCGCGACGATACTCGTCGCGCCGAGCTGTTCGCGACCCCGGCGTTGCTCGCCGCGGCGTGAGAGATCCAGTCGCGCATCCTGAGGGCCCAGGGGGGCGTCGAGAAGGCCGGCGGCCCGCCCGTGGGCCCGAACGCGCGGGGGGTCACCCAGAGTCTCGCGAGCGCAGGCGAGTGCGGGGCCCGGCCCCAGGGGCGAGGATCGATTCAGGAGTGCGGTTTTTTGTCAACGCTGCCGAACGAACTCTGAGGGGGCCCTTCCCCCTGCAGTCGTCTTGGCCAGTGGCGGTGGCGCCGGGTCCGGAGTGGCTTAGCTCCGCGCACCAGCGCCGCCGCCGCGGCCAGCGCCGACGCCTTCCGCGGGTGTCAGAGCGGCTGCGCCCCTCTCCTCGATGCTCCTCCTGCTCCTCCGACCTCCTCCTCCTCCGACCTCTCCTCCGACCTCTCCTCCGACCTTTCTCGCCCCAGAGACTCTTGAGATTTCGAAGGTCAAAGTGGTCTCGGAGCCGGGGGTTTCTCGAGTTTTGTGGGGGTCTTAGTTGTAATGACATTGGTGTGGGCGGCGCCTTGAGGTCGCTCTTCGAGTGCCCCGAGCGCGCTGCCTCTCCCGGGCCTTCTCGGCCCTGTAGGGGGTGGCTGTGCTCAGGGGGCCAGCGCCATAGAGTGCCTGAAGAAGTGGTTCTGCTTTTGTTCACGTGGTGAGCGAAGGCCCATCATTTCATTTCAGATTATAAGCAATATCCCCGCCTTGTTTTTGCGCTGGGCAAAGGGGGTTTGCGTGGGGCATGAATGCGCGAGTCTTCATCGTCATCATCATCATCTCCATGATAATCATGGTCATCTTCGTCCTCGTCATCGCCATCGCCATCATCGTCACTATCACCTATGCATTCGCCATCATAATCCCCATCGCCATCGTCATCGTCATCATCACCATCATCACCATGACCAGGCCGTCATCGTCGTCATCATCATCAGAATCAGCATCGCCAGCATCATCGTCGCCGTCGATTTCGGCGCACACCTCGCACTCTTCGTGACCCCATGGGGGGCACCGCCGAATGTCCCAATTGCACATTCCGCTTGGCCTACCCGCGCCCGATTCGCAACCCCATCGCACGTTTCGTGGTTCTATGGAGGCTTCCGGCGCAGGCCTCGGTGACAGCGCCCGCGTCGCGCACCTGCGCCCGATTCGGCGCGCTGCTCGCACGTTTCGTGTCCCCATCAGACATCACGCTTTCAATTTTTTGGCCCTCCGCACTGCGTCAGTCCGACTCCCTCCCGGGCGGGAACCGCCGCGGGCGCGCGCCAACCCGTATATGGACCTCCAGCCTCTGGGGGGCCTGGCGCCTGTCCTGGCCGCTGACGCGGCAGGGAACTCGCGAAAGGGCGCCCGGATCTTGTCCAGCGCGGAGTTCACGAGGGCGACCCGGTCGTCGATCCAGGCCTCCTTCCCCGCCGCGCGGACTGCCTCGATGTTGCGCTTCCTCTCTGACAAGCCTACCCGGACTCGCAATGCGGGGGCCTCGTCGTTGTCGTTGTCGAGCTTCTCGTCTGTCCAGAGGTCGTCCAACCACTTGCCCTGCGCGCGGCGCTTCTTCCGCGGCGGCCGGTTGGTGCCCCTGAAGAGCGTCCCTGTTTTCGGCGCCCAAGCGTAGAAGTGGGCGCGGTTGCTTGCCTCTGCCAAGCTAGCCCCCCTGGGGGCCTTCAGCGCGCCCGTCGGCGTCTGGCTGGTTAGCGCCGCCGTCGGGCGGGCATCTGGCACGACGCCGTGAAAGGCAAACGCAACCGGAGTTGCGTTGTCGATGGCCTTCTTTATATTTATTTTCCAACGGAAGTGAACGCGCCCATCGTCTTCGCTGTACAGGGACTCCTCCAAAGTGGGCGTGCTTTGCTCGACGCCCAGCTCCTCCTTGCGCTTCGTCCAGTCGCGCCACAGCGCCCAGAGGTCCTCGTTGGAAGCTGCTGGAGGGGTGCCGTCGGGGAAGGCCTTGTCCGTGAAGGGGTGGTTGTATGTTAGCAGGAAGCTGCGGCCGCGCACTCGGAACCCGCTGGCAGAACTTCCAGAAGAGTCGTCTCCGGTACCTGCCGGGTGCGCGTATTCAGGGACCGCGGGGAGGCTAGCCAAGTAGGCGGACACCGCGTCCTCCAACTTCTGCCTGTCTTCCCGCTCTAGCGGCTTCTTCCGGATGTCGGTGACCATGGCCAGTGCCTTCTCCCGGGCTGCGATGTCTGTGACCTGGGCGACGCCGCGCGCGCGGGCGATCGCCCTCAAGGGTATGGCGAGCTCCGCCCTGGCGGCCATGGCCACGCAGGGCGAAGTGTAACTTGAGCCACATGGCGACGGGTATTTGGATGCTGAATCGCCCATCGCGTCTACGCAAGTTTTCGGGAATTTGGCTCAGTCACCATCGTGGCGGTGACGGTGGAGTTTTCTTTGAGTCCCTGGTCTGGCGCCCCGCCTGGACATTGGTTCCGTGTTTCGCAAGCCCCCATTCCCCTTATCGCCAGAGTGAAATCGGTCTCGCGTCTCTCCACCCTCCTATCTCGATGCCACCCGTGGGGGAGTCTTGGAGGAGAAGCGCGATGACGATGTTGTTGACGACGGCGATGGCGATGACGGTGCTGATGACGAAGCGAATGGCGCTGGGTCCCCCGACCTGCTGAAGGCCCCTATGGGGCCTTCAGCGTCCCGGAAGAACCAGCGCCATTCGCTTGGAAAAATAACGCAACATTAAACATCTCACAGGTGCTTCGCCGCGCGGGTGCGCTGTCTGTGGGGAAGGCGCACCGCTGCCGAGAGACCAGAGCAAACCTTCACTCACACAAAAAAACGATGGATGCTGCGTGATTTGCAGGCCCGACCTGGCAACTTTCAGGTCGACCTGAAAACGCCCAGGTGCCCCGCGTGTATGAAGTAGTACATTCTGGTGATGTTTTCAGGTTTTTACACCGCGAGGTACCATTTAGACCTGAACATTTTCAGGTCGACCTGAACGTACCGTCCGTGTGAAAAAAAACAATGGATGAAGCGTCCCTGGAGGATTTTTTCAGGCCCGACCTGAAAATATCAGGTCGACCTGAAAATGCCGAGGTGCTCCACATGTATCAAATAATAAACCCTGGTGGCATTTTCAGGTTCCTACACCGTTTGGCGGTTATAATAAGATAAGGGACCTGAGGGAAACTGAAAATGTGCCCCCCCGGTGGTTCCGCCGAACCCCCCGATGGATCCGCCCGACTACACTACTGGCGTGTGCAATGACATTGTGCGGGGCCCCGTGCGCCTAACGGGGATACGTCAATCTGCCATGGCCCACTCTCTCGACGCGAATGCTCATGCTTGCGTGT